GCCCTGATGTGGGCTAGCCACCTGCATCCAGATGATCCTCAGATACTTCAAACCAATGGGACCAAAGCTTAGCTCACCTGTTGTCCCAAACTCTGTCCCCTATTGCTGGATCTTGCTTTTCTGCTTTTTCACTGTCTTCCCAGTCAGCAAAGGTGTCCTTAGTCATCTTCATCTTGTTTCGTCTCTGACCTCTCCTCCTTCTAATCTGACCCTAGATCAGTCTAGTCCAGCCATACTCGTTCCTTGCATATTCCCAGCTTCTCCCCATCTCAGGGCCTTTGCACTTTCCATTCCCTCTGCCTGGAATACTCTTTTCTCAGATATCCGTGATTACCTCACATTTCCCTTTCCTTCGGATCTCTGATTGCTGTCACCCTAGCATTGAGGCCTTCCTTGATGGCCTGCATAAGGTAGCAGCCTGCACCCCCACCCACTGCTTCCAAGCCCCCCTTACCCTGCCTAATGCTTCTTCGTTGCACATCTCACCATCTGACAGATGACGGGCAAATTAGTTTTAATATGTTTGCCCCACTAGAAGAAAAGCTCATCAGGGTAGGGACTTTATAATTTTGTTTACCATTGAATTCTCAGGACTTAGCACAGATTCTAAAGAATAAGTGAATGAACGATTGATGCTCATAAAGCAGGCCCCTTCGTCAAGAGCCCACCCCTTAGACCCTCCACTCACCAAGACTTCTACAGCCTTCCCACCAGACTTCCCCCTTCCTCTGTCAATTCTGTTCTCCATATGGTAGCCAAATTGATTACCCTAAAAACTCTTGTGACCCACTCTCCTGTTCTAAAACCTCCAATGGCTCCCCATTGCCCCCCAGATACAATCCTGTTGCCCTGGTAGTTAAGAATCTCCGAAGTATGATCCTCCTCCTCTTAGCCTTTGGTCTGACTGCTCTGCTTTCTGCACCTTCTCCTCCAGACATGTGGGACAGTGTCCTTTCTCTACATGTGGCGTCTTCTATTCCACCTCTGTACTCTCGCCCATGCCGTTCCCCCCATCTGTTATACTCTTCTTACCCATGTCCATTCTGCACATGGGACCCTACCCATCTGGAAGTCCTCTCCTTCATAACCCTCGCCCGATTCCCTCCGCCACCTAGTCCTGCTGAGTTAGTGATTCACTCTCTCCTACACGAACGCCCACAATCCTTTGGTGTGCCCTCTCTTGGTAATTATCATCCGGGATTGGGGCTCTGCGAGCATACGCCCTCTTTTCCTGGGCTCAGTACTCATTGTTCCCACACACGTTTATGTGAATCTGCTAGTGCTGGGCCCCGGGGATACCACAGCCTTGGCTCTGGTGGGACCAGCAGTGTAGCCAGTGAGGAGGGGCACGGCATGGAGGACTAAGGTTCCCCGCCAGCCTCAGGGCTGGGGCTGCTTCTGTTCTGTGCCCCCTTGGGCTTACCAAGACCTGGACTCCAGACCTAGCTCGAACACTTACTAATGATGTCACCTCTCTCTCGGAATCTCAGTTGCCTTGCCTGTGAGGACAAGCGTACTTGTCTTACCAGGTGCTCACGTCCCTGGATCTGTACCCCCAGGGAATTCACCATGGCCTCTGAAAGCCCACTGAGTTTCAAAGGGGTCCCCTTTTGGAGCCCTTGGGTGTTGTCAGGCTCCTGCTCCCCCATGCCCTCAAGGGGAGGGGGCAAAATGCCCCGCCTTGCCAACAGCTGAGGCTTCTCTCTCCAGGGGTGAGAGCTTCAAGGACACACTGGAAACTTGGGGGGCCCAGCTCTGTGTTATCTCAGCATCAGGAGGCTTCCTGCTCCAGGAGACCAAAGGCTTGGAGAAGCCCTCTGCAAACCCTACACCGGACTTCTGGGACATCAAATGATCTTAGAAGCCAACTGACTTAATGGTTTCAATGTACATGCATTAAGGTCATGTGGATTAAATTTCTCTGAAAATACACAAGGGCTTAAGAAGCAGGGGCAGGGAATACTCAGCCTGGGAGGAATTTGTTTTCTCTTTTTCTTTTTGTGTGTCTGTAGTGTTGTTATTGTTGCTTAAACCCAGGCATGTGGAAAACTATTCAAGATGTCTGAAGCACTGGTGGACAGTCAGCTTTGCATAGCTTGAGGTCTGAGTTGGGGAAGGAGTGGGCAGAAGGTGAAGGGTTAAGAAAATAAAGTGGCAGCCCCACCAGGTGTGTCCCCTCTCCTGTAGCCATTTACATCAGGACATTCAAGGAGTCTCACAGCCTGGTCAATGGGGGAAGACAGCTGGTGGGTCCTTCTCTGGGGCAATGCTGGGACCTGGATTCCAGGGCAGGGGCTGGGGAGTGATGCTATTTCCTATGGGTGTCTTCCCCACCCTCAGTGGAGATGGTGATTCTCAGCAGTCCCGGTCTCCCTGCTAGAGTTGCCTGGGGAGCTTTTAAAAATACAGATTCCCTGGCCCAGGAAATGCAGACCAAGGCATGTCAGCTCTGCCTTAAGGACTGAAAGCCAGGTCCGCACCCAGGGGTCAGGAATAGTCTGGGCCATGGGCTGAAGCAATTCCAACACAAGGTGGGAAGTGATCTGTGCATTAGAGAGACGGCTTGGGGAAGGTAAGGCCATTTTAGGCAAGGAGAAGGATCCAGAAAGTCTTCATGGAGAAAGTGGTCTTACAAAATGAACATAATTAACACCAGGTCATATTTTGTCTTGTATTGTTTTTAAATTACTTCAAGGGTATTAGTGTTGCTTTCTGAACTGGTCTGTGAGTTATTTGAGAGTGAAACAACGTCTTACTCAAATCAATATTTTGCAGAGTCTAGTGAAATTTATTAACACATGCTTAATAAACAAATACTGGTCAAAACAAATTCTATCTTGGAAAAGCCAGTTCCATGGAATCTTTAACCCTTCATATCATGCAAAGAATATGGATGCTGTGCATCTCATGTCCAGGCTGGTTGAGAGAAGTTCAAATAATTAATTTCGTCTTTCAACGTATGTACTTATGAACATCTACTAGGGATTATACCCCTGATTTCAGGAAGAAAGACAATGAAACAGGTAATTACAATCTAGTTTAATACATGTTTTCTCAGAAGAAGTGATATCTAAGTTGGTAAGAGAATATGAAAGAGGGCTTTCAATTCCAGCCATAAACAATGATGAAAGCTAGACGAAATATATAAAACAATGTTTTAGGCACTGGGCAGCAGTCAGTGCTAAGCTCAATACCTGAGGAAACTGAGGCAGAGGAGCTAAACCCGCATTCACACCAACTCTCTCTCTGTGAGGGCACTTTCCTTATTGATCACAGGGAAATAGAGTCCAAAGAGAGCAGCAGCCTATTCCCAATAAAAGCATATGTCCATCAAAAGACATATATAAGAATGTTAATAGCATCTCTATTCAAAATAGCCAAAATGGAAACAATTTAAATATCCATCAACAGTAGAATGAAGAAATAAATTGTGATATAGTGCTACAGTGGAACATTACACACCAGTGAAAAAGCATGAAATAGAATACATTTGTCAATATGTTAAACCTCAAAGACATCAGGCGGAGTACAAGAGGTCAGGTACAAATGAGCATCTACTGTATGATATCATCTGTATAAAGTTCAAAACAGACAAAACAAATCTGTGACAATAGGAGTCAGCATAGCAGTCACCTGGAAAGGCACTGACTGGGCGGGGGGCACAAAGGAGCTTTCTGGGCAGCTGGGGATGTTCTATGTCATGTTCCGGGAGGTGATTACACAGGCACATACATATGCAGGAGTTCACTGAGCTGGACACTTCAGATGTCTACACGTATTGTATCTAATTATACCTCAATGGAAAGGTATCAAGGAAGATACTCCTTTACAAAAAAAAGAAACCTATCTATCTATCTATCTATCTATCTATCTATCTATCTATCTATCTATCTATCTATCTATCTATCTATCATCCGCTCTGGGAGAGCCTGCCTGATCTGAGTGCTGGGCTGAGGGGATTGTGGAAGGTAGGAGAGGATATCATGGGAGGAGGGAACAGCATGTGCAAAGGTCTGGAGGACAGGAAAACCTGATATAATGCAATCTGACTAGTGTTGAGTGTTGAGCACAATGAAGGAGGTGGAGGAAGTGGAAGGAGAGGAGGCTGGGAGGGTAGGCAGAGGCCAGATTGGAAAGAGGGCAGCATAGGACACTAATCGCCAGTGTTTGTGTGGTCCCTGAACTTGGCAAGGGCTTCTAAGATGGCCAAGCAGAGGCTGGCCCTTTCTATCTCAGGAAAGAAGGAAAGCCTTATCATCTGTCGGGTAAAAACCAATCAGAGGGAGGATTAACTGTACATGTGCATGAGGGGTCTTATTAGGTGGATGAAAATGTTTTAAATCTGATTGTAGTGATGGCTGCACAGCTTGGTCAATTTACTTACAAATCATTGAATTGTACACTTTGCAATGAGTGACTTTTATGATAGGTTAAATATAACCCAGTAAAGCTATTTTAAAAAGTTGGAGGAGAATCCTTCCCTCCTCTTGACTGCCCCCACCCCAGAGGTGTCCCTGGGATCTTTCTGACCCCTCTTACCACTGTCTCGCTCTCACTTCCCTCAGCCCCACCGCTGCCTGTGTTTTGACTTGTGAGCACATTCACATCCATCTCCTCAGACACCCCACAACAACTCTCCAAGCAGCCAGGTTCAGAGGCACTGTCCCCACTCAGGAGACACTGAGGCCCCGAGAGGAGATGGGAGGGTGTAACTAACTATTGGTTCCTGGGTGCCTGCTAACGGTGCTGTCACATAACCAGGAGAAGGGGTAGGTGGTCATTCCCATTTCTCAGATGAGAAGATTGAGGGCCTCTGAAATGGAATGCTCAAGCTTTCATAGGCAGGGGTGGAACCCATGTAGCCTGGACTAGAAGTCAAGTCTCTGGAAACAGGCATGTCTACATGTGAGGGCCAGTCTGGCCGCCGCTTGGCTCAGGGACAGGATGGTGGGCCGGGGGTGGGAGGGTCAGGGCTGGGTGGGGTGGCAGCCCTCACTCACCACTTCTTGCCGCTGATGTCGTGCTGCTGCACCGTGTAGCCAAAGAAGGCGTCCCTGGAGCCAGAGATGACCCGGGGCTGCCTGGTGTCCATGTTGAAGGTGTCCGTGAACCCTGGGGTGGGGAGAAGAGGAGAGGAGTCAGGCAGGTGGAGTTCTGGGCCCCAGGGGTATGGGGGGCCCCACTGGCAGGTCACCTATCTTGGAGAGTCTAGGCTGGGGGCGGAGTATGTTCCCCTATCTTGGGGAGCCCCTCTGTGGGGTGGCTGAAGTAGTCCCTGCTTGGCCGAGTCCACAGTCGGATGGAAGAGGCCCAGCCCCTGCCTTGTGGGGGCCATAGTCTGATAAGGGAGGCATACAACCTATTTTTAGGGAGACCCAGTCTGAATTGGGAAAACCAGTCCCTTCCTCAGAGACTTTCCAGCTGCATGGGGGAGAAATATCTCCCTTTCTCCATCACTCCTCTCTCCACCTCTGCTTCTTCCAGCTTCTGCTCGTCTCCTCTTCCCTTTTTTTTCCTCTCTTTTCCCTCTTCTCTCCTTCTCTCACCCCTTCTCCCTCTCTTCCCTTCTCTCATCTCTGTCTGCTAAAGAGTCAGGGAACTGAGTTCCAACCTCCCCCCGCAAGCCTGGGGTCCTAGTGGCCATGGCCCCAGCACTGCAGAGCTCTGCCTGGCTTTGGCAGGGGCCGCTGCTTGTCTGGGGCAACTGAGGCAAAGCAGAGAGACAGTCCCAAACCTCTTTTACCCTGGCCCCCAAAATCTTCCCTGTTTGGTGAAATCACATGTCAGTTTCCACCTGGTGGACAGCTTTAGTGTTGAGCCAAATACTTTTTGCCCCTTTGGCATCCTTGTGTCCAATCACAAGCCGTAACAACTCACATCGGTGTGGCAGTTTGGATTTCTGCCATCATTTACCCTCACAGGACTTGGGCGAGCGAGGAAGCATTACCCACCATTGGCAGAGGAGTTTAGCCCCAGTGAGGTCAGGAGGCTTGTTTAGGGCTGCACTACAGGGCGGCAGCAGCAGCAGAACTAGGAAGGACCTCAGATGCCTGCTTTGTGACGTCTCCCCTCCATTTTCAGGGCATCTTTGGCCTGTTACACATCTAAGCCATGCCTCTGCCCAGTTGTCACTGTGAACAGGACTATCAAACTTGGGACTCATGGGGCTTAAGGGGTGGAATCCTACCACAAGCCAAAACTTTCAGACCACTGAAAACCAATCAGCAGAATAGAATTTTATCATTGCTGCCCCTTCCGTGTGTAGGGCACTTTATAAGTTTCAAAGAACATTCACATGTATGTTATCATTTAATCTCCATGACAACCCTGTGATGTGGGCAGCAAAAGGGAAGCCAAGGGTCAGGGAGCTGAAATGACCTGCCCGAGACCCCAGAGCCCGCGGGATAGGGACTCTGACGCTTAAGCTTGTCCTGCAAGCATCCTGCTGTCCTCCCCTGGGCACTGGCCCCTGGTCTGAGTGCCCTGGGGCACCTACTTGAATAAGGCCTATTGCACAGGAACAAGTGGTTTTTTCCACACTTTTTTCTTTGCTCAGCAAATGGATATAGTGGCCAAAAGTTCCATCATAAGAGTCACAGAATTAGAGTCCCCACAAGCAAAACTGGGATACCTCACAGTAGGGGTGTTATTATAGATATGTATTATCTCACTTACTCTTGTCAATAGATTATTAGTGCTGCCTGGAGCAGTGATTTAAGAAAGGTTCTGAGGTCAAATCTGGGCTCAGTGGGCAAGACTAGTGTGATCCATAAGTAGTACCTGCTGCAGATACAGGAGAGGACAGTGGTAGCAGGTGGTTATATAGCTGCCAACCCTGTCTTCGTGATTCTTAATCTGCCACATGAATTTAGTTTCGTGGCCCTAAGTGGAAGTGGGAGAAGAAGAGTGTGTTAGACCATTAGTGCCTTATTCACAAAGTCCAGACCATGAATGAACTTCTCAGCCTGGAATGCAGTCGGCAGCCTTGGGGAAGAGCACCCTGGTCAGGCGAGGACAGGGGGATGAAAGAGCCAGTGAGGGCACGTCATGGAGGTCAGAGATACCAGTGTCAAGTGTGCAGCGCTGGGAGGTAAACAGAAGGTGGGTCAAGAGTGAGTTGCAGACAAGGAACTCACTCTCTCCAACTTTGTCCAAGGATTGGACACACACACACACACACACACACACACACACAGGGGCACATGTACATACCCACATGCGTGCACGCACACAGAAATGCACAGTGCATGTACACACATGAACACATATACATACATGCACACACATGCACAGGCCACAGACAATACCTGACTGTGGGGCAACACTTTATTTGAGTCCCTGGCGCCCCCTGGAGATGCCCCTGATGGTCCATAGTCCTCCCCTGCCTGCATCTGGCTCTGAACAAGAGGAAGGAATGCTCTGACAGGAAAGCCAGACCCACGCACTGCTCCCAAGCCTGCGGGGGAGTGAGAACCAGGGAAGATGAGGCCATAAACTGTGCTTTCGTGGCCTTCCCACTATCAGTGCTTCTTGTGCAAACACGGCCAGAAGGATTTTTCCAAGACCTGTCAGATCCTATCACGCCTCGTCTCCATCAGTTTTCCACCCCACTCACAGTGAAAGCCAAACTCCTACCTGCCAGGCCCTGCACGAGCCCCCCCATCTGCCCCTCATTTCCTGTCCTCCCCTCCATCCCTCTGCTCCAGCCACACTGCACCCCTTGCTCTTCCTAGATCATGTCGGACCTGTTCTCGGCTCAGCATCTTTGCCCTGGCTGTCCCTCTGCCTGGAATGTTCTTCCCCCAGTTGTCTGCATAGCTCACTCCCTCAGGTCATCAGGGTCTCTGTTTCAATGCCATCTTGTCCATCACCAGGTCACCCTGTCACTCTTATCCCCTTATTTTTCATGTTTCCTCATAGCGTTATCACAGACATATTGCATATCTACCTGTTTATTTTCACATGGCTCATATTCTAGAATATTCATATGTTCTCTAAGTGCCATGAGCTGCTGCTATCTCCTTACTGTTGTATCCTTAGTTCCTCAAATAAAGATCTCACTCATAGTTAGTAGTCATAGATATTGGTTGAATGGTTAGCGATCATTTGGCTGGGATGCTTTCTCCCATCAATGAGGAAGAGGAAAAAGAAGACAATATTTATTGAGCACTGATATATTCTAGGCACTATTCTAGGTATTTAACCATTAATTTTATATTAATTACTTAAACCTCACCAACCCTGTGAAATATATATATATATATCTCGTATATATAGCTCTGGGAGGTTACATAAGTTGTCCCAAGTCACTCAGCTGGGAGGAGGTTAGAGCAAGTAGCTTGGGGCACTAGGGTGATATGTTATCCCTGGGAGATCAGCCTTTCATACAAAGGACCCACTACCAGGGAAGGTCTTCCCTCCTGCCTTTAGGTCTCCCGCTCCTCTACCTTTGGGTTTGATTGGGAGAAGCAAAGAGAAGCAAATGAGAGACAAGGCAGAAGCCCTGCGCTCCTTCTGTCACTTAGGGCTCTGTCTAGGACCAGTCCTGTCTCTCCCAGCATCCCCCAACCCCAACCTCCTGGGGGCAGGATTAGTGAAGTCTGGCCACAAGGAAGAGGACAAAACCCCTCAGGCTGGGGCACCAAGTTACAAAGCTCTGGTTTCTTCCCCCAGTTGGCATTTGCTTCTGACCAAACTGAACCAACCAGAGACTGGATTTCCTAAAAGTGATGTCAAGTCTGTGGCCCTAACCTCGGCCCTGACGAGCTCTCTGGCTGTTCCTCTGATGGTGCATGGCTTTCATGCTTGGGGAATGTATTCTGCTCAGAGATTTATGAACCCCAAATACCAACAAAACAAAACAAAGTTGTTTTTGACGGGAACCAACAGGCCAGATGCAGTGACACTGGAGCCGGGTTGGGCAGCTTGCCACTTTTCTGCCCTTGATATTGATGACAGAGGGGGGAAAACCACAATTCCTGGGCTGCTGTCCTATGGACTGTAGCCAAAGTTATATCAGCGGCTGCTCCCTTTTTCAGAATCTTATTTGTCTTTTAAAAAAGCATCAGTGAGTCCCAAGAAGGCACTGAAATCACAGCGTGGAGCTTGAGCACCAGTGGGGCCCATGGTTCGCAAACCCATTACACCACGCTAAGTTGGAGGCCACTGCCATGTCACCAAGTGGAGCAGTCACAATCCCAAATGCTGAGGAACACTGGCCAACATTCGTCTAGAGCAAGGGCTGGCACACTTTTGAAGCGAAAAAGCCACCAGGGGCCAGCAAACTGCGGCTCGCGAGCCACATGCGGCTCTTTGGGTATGTACATGTGGCTCTGAAGCAAAATTGAAAATGAAAATAAAACTATCAGAGTTTCATTTACAAAAATTTTAAAGGATATTATTCACATAATAGTGATTATGTAAAAATTTATTTATGGCTCTCGAATAATTTTTAAATTGTTGTGAGGAGCAGGATTGGCTCTTCCAGGGATCGGCGAACTTTTGAGATGGAACGCACCCAAAGAGCCGCATGTGGCTCGTGAGCCGCAGTTTGCCAACCCCTGGTCTAGAGACTGCAGTCAACTCCACATCTCCACTCTAGTTAAGTAGTGTCTGCTGTGCGTCCACACTGCGCACACCCCTCACCCCCCGCCTAGATGTCGAGTAACTAAATATCTTCCAGGCGTCTTGGGACAAAGTCCAAAATCTCCGCAGTCCCAACACCGTTTGAGCCTCCCCAGCCTCATCTCGTGCGAGTTTTCCTCTGGCGCTCTGTGGTCCAGGTACAAGAGCTCCTTTTTGCTTCCCAAATGCACCTTGCTTCTTCCCACCTTGGGGGCCTTTGCACATGCTGTTTCCTTTGCCTGGGCCTCTATGATGAACTTCTCATCACCTTCAAATCTCAGTACAAATGTCACATTCTTCCCCGGCTCCTAGAAACCTCCCTGACCCCTGATTATACCAGATCTTGCCTAACGATCTCATCACCGGTCATACCTCACTAACAGGTGACGGGTGCCTCCTCCTTTCCTTATCACAGTTAGTAATTGTACACAATGGATGGGATTCTTTGATTACTCCTATCTCCCCATCAGGATAGTGACTCCACGGGG